CAAGATGCAATTAGTGTGGAAACAATGCACTTAGTACACCTTGAAATCCTGATCCTGTTTGTGTTTTAGACAGGCTGTTTGTGTACTTAGCCACTGATTGCCATATCCTACGTTAATATGTGAGTCCAAATAACCTCTAGAAGCTGCAGCTAAAAGCAACACTACCTGTGTCCTCTGTGCTTAAACGGTTTTCTAAAATGGTGTGGTGAGCCCTCCATGTAAGTTTTTTTTTAATTTGGTCTCGGAAGACAGAGACTGACATCCTATACATTTTGCTCACCATGCCAAATCAGAAATGTCTCCTGATCCCACCAAGACATTCCTCATGCTGCCATGCCTCCTCTTCATCTCAGCAGAGGGCTGTCATTCACTGCTTTGTCTGGTCCAGCTTACCTACGTGTGTGTGTGTGTGTGTGTGTGTGTGTGTGTGTATCTGTGCAAGTTAACACATGCTTTTACATGTTCAGTTGTTCAATTCAGTTTTATTTATATAGCGCCAATTCATAACAGAAGTTATCTCATGGCGCTTTTCATACACAGCAGGTCTAGACCGTACTGTTTGTAATATTATTTACAGAGGCAGAAACACCTGAAAGAAAGAAGGAGACAGACAAGAAACCTCAAATCAACGGGAGAGGGAAGAATTCAAGTTAGTAACATGCATTAATGGGATCAGAATGCATTCAGCGGAAGAGGAGGAGAGAGGAGCTCAGTACATCATGGGAAGTCTCCTCTCTAGGCCTATAGCAGCATAACTAAGGGATGGTTCAGGACTCACCTGAGCCAGCCCTAACTATAAGCTTTATTAAAGAGGAAAGTCTTAAGCCTACTCTTAAATGTGGAGATGGTGTCTGCCTCCTGAACCCAAACTGGAACCTGGTTCCACAGGAGAGAAGCTTGGAAGCTGAACGCTTTGGCTCCCATTCTCGTTTTGGAGACTAGGAGCCACAAGTAACCCTGCATTCTGGGAGTGCAGTACTCTGGTGGGGTAGTAAGGTACTATGAGCTCTTTCAGTCCTTGAGATTTATTTTATGTGGGAGTTAAAGAACATGTCCTGAACAAAGATAACTCCGAGATTCCTTACAGTGGGGCTGGAGGCCAGGCCGATGCCATGTAAAGTAATTATGTCTTTAGATACTGTGTTTCTGAGGAGTTTGGGGCAGAGTGCAAAAACTTCAGTTAGGAGATAAAAAAAACAGAAAATTGCAGGTTTTTGTGCTTCACTTAATTGTCTTCATCCATGTATCTTTTTTTAAATGGCCTCCTCGTGATGATATAATATATGGAAACATGATCTCATGATCTTAGTAAATAAATCGTTTGATTTTATTCCTCTTTACAAAAGAAATGTGAAACTCTTGTTTTCCAAAATGCTAATTTCTGAAAACGACATGTCTCTATATACTGATTCTTTTGCATGAAATGGTTAATCACAAGTGATAGAAAGTTGAAATTTTTTTCCAAAATGTGAAGTTGTCATGGGGTGATTCAGACCAACCACCAAATTCCATTCACTCCCACACAACCACACCTCTCCTCCTCCTCCTCCTCCTCCTCCTCCTCCTCCTCCCCCACACCCTCCATGTTCCTTCCTGTTTCCTGTTCCGCTGTCCGCTGCACAGGAAGCCTGGTTGTGCTATTGGGTTGCAACAAAAACTCGTGAGTCACCAAGCTGTAAACTTTGTGGACATGTGGGGAGAAAAGAACATGGTGTTTTTTTTTCTGATCTCCATCTCTCACCTCTAACTAGGCTTTGCATTGTTTCTCAAACAAATGGCTCACGGGGTCTTTAACTCTGTACACAAAGCCACATTTGTCCTTCACGTTTAACCACCTGCTGACTCTTGGCTCTACTATCTGTGAGTAAGCTCCATCCAGCTGGCACGTCTGTAGGCTGTATGCACCTGCTGGCTCCGATGTAAGGTGGAGTCAATCAACAAAAACATTCATTAACGTCTCCTTTATTTTGTGTCTTATGTGCATGGATACAGTCATGGTTGCTTTGAAGAATCAACGTATGAAATAAAAACTTTAAAATGGCAAACTTTCCATGAGATGACCATATGGCCTGGAGCTCGCAGGTTTGAGGGTTGTGAACCCTATCAAATGTGGGGGATTCTGCGTCGATGAGATCATGCCTGGTCAGTTGAGGGAAGTGACTTTCGACTCACCTGACCTATGGCCAGATTCAGAGTTTAAAGTTCATTTCATGACTCCCCAGCTCAGCCCAACCTCCAGAAAAAATGGTTCTGACTGGCAGCAGCACAAATGTGAAATCTGCACGCAACCTGACCTACTTCTGACATTACCTTAACCACGTGGACTTTGCTCCCCCGGGCTGAAGGAGGTCAAGTTTAGAGGTCAAAATGGTTCTCTGTGTGTTATGTCATCTATCTCTATGAGGCATTCTTGTGATATCAGCAACACAGATGAAATTCATTTCTCAAGTGTTTATGTTTACGCCCTTTGTCCAGAGTAAGTGTGTGTGTGTTTCCAACAGGCAACATTTATGGCAAAACTAAAACTTTGCTTTTAAAATGAAACACAATGAAACAATTGTGTTTCTGCTGTCACAGCTCTTTTTTACAGTGACCATTAGAGGCTTTAAGGAAATCCCTCCTTCATCTTCTAGACTGGTGTGTGTGTGTGTGTGTGTGTGTGTGTGTGTGTGTGTGTGTGTATATGTGTTGTGTGTGTGTGTGTTGTGTGTGTGTCCATGCTTGCTGGAATGTCTGCTGGCCAGGCCTTTTATTAGGCTCATCCATACCACCACATAACTGCAGGTCCTGGCTGGTTACCATGGGGAGCGCCCATTGAGTGACGTCGCTGGCCCTGTTTGCGTCTCTCCTTATTGGAATGAGGGCCTTTTTAAAGGTGCAACCCCCAACTCTTCCTACACACACACACACACACACACACCCTGCTCCTCGTCACCCTCTGTGCGGTGACTAGAGGACTGGAACTAACAATCCGACAAAAACATCTCACTGAGGCGGACCAGACAGGACCTTCCACGGAGTGCCTTTGTGTAGAAAAACCCATACAGACCCCAAAGTAGGAACGCCCTACTATAGGTAACTGTACTGCGAGTGCCATACAATACTGACAAAATCACGTGTCACAGTGTTCTTAACTTGAAAACTTCACTTTATTTAGTCATACAGATGCATTTCCCTCAGTTACGATCCAAAAAGTTTGAACAACACTATCTCTTAGCTGCACTGAAGCCCAACACGCTGGGTAAATAAAGTATTTCAGCTGTATCACAATATGTAAGTATGAAAGCAGAGATACAAGTAGCAGTTTTTTAAATTCCAGATTTAAAATACTTGAATATGGAGCACTAAAGCAGCTAAAGAGCTGATTATTAACAACATTATTTGACATGATAATGGCCTGGCTTATCTTGAGGTTTTGAAGAGTCTAGTGGAATGTAAGGTGTAATGTATGTGTGTAAGTGTGTCTTTCTACACTTTTTTGTACAATTTTTAGCTAGTTGTACTTTACATGAGTATTTCCATTTTATGCTGCTTTATAATTCTACTGTGGTACATTTTTGAGGCGAGTATTGCACTTACATTTACATTTACTCATTTGGCAGACGCTTTTATCCGAAGCGACTTACATTTGAGGAAAACTTAAACTTAAACACACTTAAACTTAACTACATTTGTTTGAAAGCTTAAGTTACTGATTACTTTGTAGATTCAGATTATTAACAGAAATCAGTGAATTATGACGTATTATTATATGTTAAACTACCCAGCAGTATTTAGAGTAAATAAAAGTAGCCACACCTTTATTAGCTGCAACATTAAACACATCAGTGCATCACTAATTATCATCCAGTCATACAATAGGCTAGATGATCCTAAAATGGGCCATTCTGCATAATGAATACTTTTTTACAATTTATAAGTAGCCTTGGATATTTTGACTGCGGGACTTTTACTTGTAACAGAGTATTTTACACTGTATTATTGCCACTTGTACTAAATAATAAGTATTCAGATAGTTACATGTAGTAAAATATCTGAATACTTCTTCTACCACTGCAACTAAGCAAACTCCATCCATTGACTGTGAGATAGGGTTTAAAACTATGGAAAACTCTGAGTTAGTGGACCGTCATTACCAAAATTTCAGACTTAGCAGCTATATATGATTTTAATTTAAATATTATGTCCCTGCAGTAAAATGTAAATGAATAGGAAGGAGTCTTTGTTCTCTGGTAGATAACACAGGTGGCTTACTGTAGAACAAAAACAGCTGATAGACATGTATTAGGTTATCTTGTGGAGATCAGTAATCACACACTCCCCTGACTGTATTCAGACTCTCTGCATGACCATATTTTCAACTTTTAAGAGAGCATATGACCTGCTAAGATTCTTAAGTGACCAGCAAAGCAAGTATGGATAAGCTTTTGTAATCCAGCCACAGTTTTACACCAGATGACCATTGCTCATAGACTGAAATATCTTGTGTAATTGTGTTTTTTGTTGTCACAAGTTAAACAATCCTTTAACTTCAATACCTTTATCGCCAGTGTGTGGATAGGCCTACATGTGGTGCCCATGAAGCAGCTGTGGATAAACTAATTGCTTGAACGTGATGGTGTGTAATCTTTTGTCGCGAAACTCATCTATCTTAGCACCGCCCTGATGGAGGGAGATGGGGTTGTGACGACTAATGAATAGGGTGACTTGCGGGAAGACGATTCCAGCAACTTCTCCATATTTGAACGCCTTTCATTGACTGCGGAGGAGGGAGGGAGTGCGGGGGTCTGAATGGGGTGGTGGAGATTGTGGAGTATTGTGAGTTTAACAGCAGAGCCCCACTCTAGCTGAATGGGTATTGTCATCTGGATTTCTATGGCTAACCAAAATACTTTCTCCCGCCTTGGGGGTTTATGGATTCATGGTGGGAACAGCACGCATTACGCACAGCCGAGGAGGGCACTCAGTTGTTTTGTTGAAGAACACACTTTAACTAAAGGTTTTCAGACAATATATTGAGTTTAATCTTAATAAAATGAAACAACATTGCATCTTCCTATACAAGAATAATGAATCATTACATCAAAGGTCAACAAAACAACAGAAAACAAACTTTGTTCAAAGAATGTTTTGAAAAGAAAAGACTTGCTGCAGTGACAATGATGCAAAAACGTTGCAGGTGCTCAGTGCAACCGAATAACGGACTGTAACATGTCATGATGTGACCTATAGATCACAGGCTCTCCGGACTCTACAGGTCCAAAATGTGACTGAAAGTCGCCGCCATAAAAAAGCCTGTCTTAGATGGTGCCTTTAACATGTCTGCACTTTTCTTCTTCCTGTTTTGTTTGCTGACATTGCTTGTTTGCGAGTTCTCAAAGAGTGGCGTGGTTCCTCTAAAGGAAATGGGTCTGTGAATGTGTGGGAGTGCAATAATTCTCAGTTACTGTACAAGTTTGTGCTGACAATGCACATCAAGGCAAAAAAACAGTGCATATATTCGATGGCAAGAGGTCCTCTAGAAAAGAAAAATCAACTTTGCAGATACAATGGTAAACAATTCAAAATAGCTACTATGATTTCTTAGACTTACAAAAGTAGGTACCAAACAAAGATACTCCTTTTGTCGTGAGCTACCTCTTGTAGTTGAAAGTCTTTTTTTAATCTCCTGTAAATACAGAAATGATTTGTGAATTTGTGGTCCGAGCGCGTTGAAGAGTCAGTATAAAAACAGCAGAGGAGCTTCCAATGATTTTCAGATTTAAAAAAAAAAAGATAAAAAGAAAACTGCAGGTGCAAAGATAACTTCCGTCAAAACCAGTTTTTCAAAAGCTGCAGGTCATTTTTACGCACCACCTGCTATGAGTCTACACATAATTCCTCTTGTCATAGTCCCCGTTCGGCGTGGTTCTCTTGGTCGGTGCGTACTTTGCAGAGTATCCAGAGTTCCCGCTGGAGGGACAGGAGCAGCACAGCAGCGCTCCCCCGATCAGCAGCAGAGCTGAGGCCGCCCAGCCGATGTAGAGCGCAGCGCCGATCTCCCTCTTCTGGGATGCGGGCACCTGCGGATTGTAGAAGTCCGATATGATGTTGTTGGCCATCCAGCAGAGGGGCACCATCACAAACAGACCACTGATTATGTAGATGACCCCTCCGGCGTTCACCACCCGGGCTTTGACGTTATCGTCGCGGAGGCAGTTGGTGCACTGCGCCCCAGCGATGACAACCATGAGCCCCAGTACGCCCATCACCGCGGAGATGATGGTGAGCGCTCTGGCCGCCTGCAGGTCGTGGCTGAGGGCGAGGACGGAGTCGTGCACCTTGCACTGCATCTGGCCCGTACTCTGCACCACACACGACATCCACAAGCCGTCCCAGATAGTCTGAGCCACCACGATGTTGGCTTCGATGAAAGCCGTCACCTTCCACATGGGCAGCCCGCACGAAACCATCACCAGGAGCGAGCCAAATAGCGACAGCGATAGTCCCATGAGCTCCAGTCCGGCAGACACCATTTTCGCTCTTTACCTTCAATCAAGTCTGTCTGAAACTTTTCAAACTCTCCCCTAATATCTTCTTGAGAGTAAGGGGTATCTCTGCTCTTTATTTCTTCGTTCTCGCCTCGACCTAGTTCAGGAGCGCCAGTCGTTAGTTGCGCATAACTCACCACATTTACTGGGAGATGTAAGGTACAGCAGCTCTCAGCCTCTTTGTTGGTGAGTAGATGTGAAAACAACTGGAATCACAGTAGCACCGGACCACGAATATTTGCGGGGTGGGGGTGTGCGGAGTCGAGAAGAAACTTTCCTCCAATCAGCTGGCGCCGCATCCTCAAGGGACCAATGAAAACGCAGGGAAGTTGTGAGGCTGAATAAAGCGGTCCAAAGCTCATTGTGCGTTTGAACAGTTATTTACAATGAATAGATGGGGGCAGGAGGGGTGAAGGCGCAAGGTGGGTGTGTTAAGGGTATGGAGCAGCTGAAATGCACCGGCAATTGTTACTGGTTTTTCTGACATGGAGGCTAATGCCACTTGTCTGTGGAACAGGACTATGGCCTAGAACGACGATTTCACATCCACTTGATGCCAGAAAATAAGGAAGAAAAGAAAAGATCACATTAATTTTAAATGCATTCTCTTTTAAATTGTCAGCAGTTTTTACAGCCTCTGTGTATTTAGAGACTCTGATCCTCTGTTTCCTTGGTAAAGCTAAAATACAAGACTCCCTTTGATGGTAAAGATTTATCATTACGAAATATTTTGTGTTAATAAAAATAGTCTTCATTCATTCATTCTTTAAATTAATTTGATCTTACTTCTAATCTCATCACTCACAGTAAATACTATTTTGTGAAATGTAATGACTTGTCAGGACCCCCGTAAACGATACATTTGGTTAACAGAATATTCTGTCCAGTGCCCTAGATCATGCTTTTATGCGGGCCTATTTACATTTATAAAGGAAATCCACATAGCCCGTATGTTTACTCCAGGACATGCTTAGGCTCTAGGCATAATATATTTTGAAGTGGCACTATTACAGTGTAATAATACTTTGCTAAAATAATTAATATATTTATTATTGCGATCAAGTTGTAGGCTATTTAAGTTTCAATCAATTTATTTAAATTAATTTCATTTAAAATGCTTTATTTCCTATTGGATAGCTGTAGGCTTATAGCAATCCACAGGCTACAATATTTTAAAAGTCATCATATCCTTTTTTTATGCAAAATCTTAATCTGTAAAGTAATGAGTGACTTTCCAAAAGGCCACATGTAGTGGAAGCACATTTTCACCTGAAAGCAGTAAAGTGGAATTGAGTGGCATACAATGGAAATATAAGAACTTACATCCTGTAAAATAAGCCAAATAAGGTTGGAGCTTCATAGAGCTCTAAAGTTTTACAGCCACTCATAATTACTGATCTTGAATTGTTGCTACAATACAGTTGACATGCAACAAAAGTTTTGATTGGTCTGAGGTTTCGGTAGTGGGTTGGACACAGCCTTCATGAAGTACATCAGAGAAATCCTTTGGAAAGTGAGCTTGACATAGTTAATTTCATTCATCACCAATGAGGGTGATAAAGCAATTATAACCAAGCTTACCAACAAAGCAACTGTTGATGAAAGATGTTTTGCCAGACTCTCAAAAAACTTAAAATAGTCATTTTAAGTAGTTTTGTAGCCCTCTTAACCAAAAAGACAAAATGTGCCAACATTTTCAGCTAAAATGGGCCACGTGGACACACACACACTTACTGAAAAGTTACAAAGAAATTGAGAGTGCAAAACAGGTTCCTCTGTGTATACCTATCCATGCAAAACCTAAACAATTTTTTAAAATTAATTTACACACAAAGACACCAATGTGCAGAAACACACACCCATACAACACAATCAGTTAATTTTAAATGCATTTTTTAATGAAATATTTGTTATATAAACTTTTTATTGCATGAAATGTATTTACGATGTTGTTACTGTGGCACCTGAAAGACAATAATGTCAGTTTCCTGCTAATATTTAAATTATTTCAGCTAAAATTACTGTGTTGTTCACTCTTTACATTTAATGAACACATAGCCCATTTTAACTGAACAGCTGGCCCATGTACCTGAGTTCAGGTAACATGGACCAAAGGGAACCTGCTGATAGTCAAACTCGCATAATTCTAAAACCAGTATACTTTTTCACATTTTTTAACAAATAAATATTTAAGAGGCCCATGCCAATTTATAAATTCATATTTAGATCTCATGCATAGCTTATTTATTGGTCTTATTAGTCATTTATCAAAAAGTGGCCCATTTTAGCTGACTTAGTAGTAGATTATAACATAGGGCATCCAGTGGAGTTAATGGTGTATGGACACTTTTTGGTCCTAAAATAACTTATTCTGAAATATAAGAAAACGTCATTTTACCTATAAGCAACATAAAATGTATTTTTCACTTTAGTCCATTACAGTGTCCATTACAGTGTTGCAGCTGGAGTGCGTTTGTTATAAGTGTAAAATGTAATCATATATTTGATACCATTTTATCATATTATTAACGTTATATCATTGTACAGTGCTTTAAACATTTTCCACGAAGTTATGATCGACGGGCAGAAGAACCCGTTGCTGGGCGCACTCACCTTTATTGCAAAAAAAGGAAACAAATCACAAGTGACTTACCAAAATATACATAACAATATACTACAAACATATAAGACGTAGACAGAATACAATACAGAATACAATACAGTTTTGCCAGGGGAAGCCTATAGGTCTGCTGGGCGCATAAAAGAAAGTGTAACACTCAAGCAGCCATGTTGGATCTCATAGTGAATGGTGCTGTGCGGGTCAGTCTTTCTGACCGTTGAGCCGTAATGGCGTCAGTGGCGCAGCAGCATAGCCGTTGGTAATGAAAAGCTTCAGGGAGGAGGGGGCGGACTCACAGGGACGGTTTCCGGGTTTCCCTTCCTGGGCTGGGACAGCGGCAAGAGGCAAAAAAAACCTCCTGTTGATTAATAATATTTCAAAGTAACGCTCAGGTAAGGCACTGTTCAGTCGTTGATGTTTTGTGTCTGTTTTTTACGAACTGTTTGAATGAGACGGAGCAAGGGGAGGAAGACAGGGGCAGTTGAAGCCTCGCTGGCAACATGACACCATTCGCGGTAACAACTGTTGCTTGCTAAAGTTTGACATGTAACGTTAACAAAATTTCAGTGGTCTAATCTAATCCAATTCGGCCTATCAGACGAGATTTTAAAGAGGAAATCAAAGTTCAAGGAGCCACGGTATTGAACTAAGCTGCGTACGTACGAATGATAATGTGATTGTCCCAGTTGATGTTTGGTAAATTCAGTCAGTGTCTGACAGACTGGGTGTGGTGGACATCCAATTCCTACAGAGGCCTTCAAACACGTTTCAAACTCCCCCTACCAGTGACTGAAGCATTGTTTTACCTTCTTATTTATTTGACACAAACGTACAAGTAAACATTTCCTCCTCTTCAGATTTGCTTTTGAACTCATTTATTGTCTCATTGTCCCAGTTCATGCTTGATAATTGCGGGGAGACTCTGTAACGTTACACTTCACTGGGCCTACATATTCCTAAATCAGTAGCATATATAAATATATATAATCTGCATCTGACGTGCTATTCACATCAGTGACTTTCACAAATTTCCTGTAAACCCATTTTGTGTAACATTCCTGAACTCTAAAATCGCTTTCTAACATCCGTGTAATCCATGACCTTTGGTTGTAAAGCACATTTGCGCAAAATAAATTTTGTGTTTAGGCAACCTCACAATAACAGGGGGAAACAATAACATATTCTCATTATGTGTCTGTCCAAGATGTGGCTTAGAGCCACCATTGAAGAATTATCATACATCTTTTCTTGTGTTTTTGGTTCAGTGAAAACATGCATATATCACTTCCTCTCTTGCTGAGTGGTGAACACTATGGGCACGATGGCAGACTTTGTGAGCTGTAATCTCTGGCTGGCAGCTGCCCTTTACTTAGAAACAACTTAGGTTTTTACCTAAATGGACACAGACCAGTTTGCTATCAGAAGGACAACATCTCTTTGTACTGAAAGACGTCCTGGGCCTCTGATCCAGCACCTTCACTGCTCATTGACCTTTCCCCTTCCTACGACTTTATCTCACAACCACGAGCCGGCACAGGAGCGCCAGGGAAGACATCTGTCAGACACTGTAGACTACAAGGGATGTTTCCGCCCGTTTTACACTGGGGTGTGAATGGAAAACCAAACCTTGATTCACATTTTCAGACCCAAGTGGACCTGAACTATTGTGTCAGAGGTTTGAATGATGTTACACCATAGTCTATGTGTTACACAGCAGGATGTCTTTGTTCACTACACTGTGTGAAACACTGTTTAAAGAAACACACTTGATGATATGGATAAAATCTTCTATTGTATAGGTATGTTTATTTCATAATAATATACTGTAAAATTGTTATTTTTCTGGAAATTTCAACTTAGAAACCATTTAAAGATAAAATAACTAGATATAGGATTGTGTGCCTATGGTGAATACAGCAAATTAAATTCCTGACAAATAATGGTAGATCATCACATTGATGCAAAATGTTTGTGAATCCAAATTTGCTGTGAATCAGTCCTGCTCATTTTGCTAATTGATTTTCAACATTATTAACAAATGTTACATCTCACTGTCAGGCATGTTATGTTCTTTTATGAAATAGAGAAGAGCGGTACTTCCTCACATTAAAGAAAATAGAACTAGTTAATATTTGGCATATTTGATGATCTGATGATTAATTGTTGGTGTGTCATTTTCTGTTTATGGACAGTTTCTTACTTGAAATGTAAGATATAATAAGGGAATCTTTATAGTTATTTGTGTTGTGAATAGGGCTGCACAATTTGATTGAAATATTGTTTAATTCACAACTGGCCAAGTGCAATATCCAAATCGCAGAAGCTGAACGTTTTTGGTGAAGGTAAAGAAGCATCATAATGTAGTACAGTAGTGCTGCAGAGATGCCCCGGCCCACAAATCCTGTTTTTCAGATGTAAGAGAACATGTTTGTATGGTACAGATCATTTTGGTCATTTTTTCAATGAAAATGAAAATTGTAATGCGAAAATGAAAATTCCCACTAATCTTGAATCATCACCAATCGTAATGTGTCAAAATAATTGCAAAATCTCTTCTCTTTTTTTTTAATCATTATGTGCAGCCCTAGTTGTGATTCAACACTTTTTTTTCCCAA